GGGCCACATTTGATTTTCTGCTTAGGGAGGAAACGGGTTATGTACCTTGTAAAAAAAAAAAAACCCTTTCCAAGGTTTTTTTTCCCCCAAAAAGGGTGCACAATAGCAGCAGGAACTGGTTGGGTAGCTTTTATCTTTATGACCTGTTTAGCATTTCTTTGTCTAGAGGGACACTAAAAATCAGCCCCTTGGCTAGGCCTTAGCCAGGCAGCAGCTGAACTTGGGTCACAATGACAAAATGATTATTTAAAATCAAATGTTAAGGATACTCTCTGATTTCCAAATACCACAGCCCCTTCGTTTCTACAGAGGCTCTTTTTATTTTTAAAATTCCATCTGGAAATCTGAGACTGATTACTGTCGTTTTCCACTGGCTGAAGGGCCATGGGGTGAGGGAGTGGTACCAGGTAGGAGCTAGTATTCAGAGAAATTGAGGCAAGGTTGTAGATAGTGCTCAAATACATGCGTTGTCTAGTTCCTAGGCCTTCTTGGGGAAGTGTTATCAGGAGATGGGCATCTAGTGATTTCGTGGGTTCCCAGAGGCATCTGGTGGGGCCACTTGTGAGATACAGGAAGCTGGACTAGATGGACTCTCGGCCTGATCCAGCAGGGCTCTTCTTAGGTTCTTAAATGTATCAGGGAAGGGGGTGGGAAGGAAGTGGGGTCCAAGCATCCATAAAATATTTTCCTAGGTGCTATTAAGGAGCCATCACCACAGGAAATAACCTCGATTCTCATTGAATTATTGGTGAGTTCTAAAAGGCTGCACCTCGCCTTCCCTAATCCGCTGTCCTCTTAAAATACGTTGTATGATATGCCCGACGAATAAGGTCTTCCTGGCTCTGAGTGATGGGCATCCGGAGAACCCCAGGGAGAGGAAGGCTGGCTTGCCCAGGGCTTTCTCTACCTGGGAGCAGCCTCCACCCTAGAAGCTGCCCTCCTCCTGCAGTGCAGATGCCTTGAGCCAGTTAATGCAGAAAAGACTCCCTGAAGATAGCAGACCTGAGAAACCCGTCTTCTTAGTGACGCTGGAAGGAGCAGCCGTGTGGCTTCAGCCCAGTCACAATGACACTAACTTGGGTGTCTTAAAAAGCACATTTTGCAGGGCCAGGAATGGGGTTTTCGCACGGCTTTCTGATGCCACTGAGATCTATTTTCTTTGCGTTATTGAAGGCAAGTGCAGAGGATGTAATTAAATCATTATGTGCCTTGGAGTCGATTCTGACTTACGGTAAGCCTCCTTAGTCAAGATCCTGAAAGAAGGCTGGCTGGCGATGGCATCTGTGTCTTCCTGCTTCCTTTTCAATAATGCAGCAAAGCTTCCCCTACTTCCTTCCTGGCTGGCACCGATGGGAGCTCAAGCAACTAGCTTTCCCCTTTTCATTTTTATATTAATAGAGCTATGGTGCCCCCTTGTGGTAAGGCTTTTGGTATTGCAATGTTTTTAAAAAAACATTATCTTTTTCTTATTTTCCACCTCCTATTTCCTTTTTTGGTGTTTGTTACAAAATAATAATAATAATAATCAATCCTTTTTCCTCCACTAAGATGTAAGTAGGTGCATCTTGGACTAGGTCAGTGTTTCCAGTGTAGTTCTCTCTATGAGGATGAGCAGAGGGGGCAGAGAGCGGACAAAGTATTGACTGTAAGCTGTGTGTTAATGCACTGGCCAGAATTTCAGTCTTGTAGACATATGTTGCTCTCATGAACCTATTCCTTGCATAGTGAAAGGACTAAAGATGGCCCAAAGATTTAGTGATATAGAGGGGAATGAAGTGCAAATCATGTACATACTTAATTTTGATTATTCAGGAAATAGCATCTCTATGCAAGAGGAGAGGGTTTCTGGGGGTCTTATATTAGCACTCACATATTTGTGCCTTCAACCCTCTAATTGTGAATTCCACCCTCCCAATATAATGCCCTCGTGGCCTGACATCTCTGAGGCTTCTGATGAAATGGAGAGGTGCTTTGATTATCTACTGTTTCCAGCATCTGCAAGGGTGGCGGCTTGGAGCCAACAGGTCCTACTGTATCTTGGTTCATTTTAAAAGCCTTGGCTCCTTTTATACCTCCCCCCCCCTTTAAATGCTCCAATTGTCCTTTTTTCAAACAATTAGGCTCAACCGATGTCAAAGTAGGCAACGTAATGGGGTTTAGACTTTCCCAACCCTTACATCTTCACTCCCGGCCTCTGCCTCCATTGTATATGTTGAAAACAATCCTGACAAAAGTCAAGCACAGCTGGAAGGCCAGATCATGGTGGTTGCGGCTGGATCCTGTAACTCCGAGGCCACCTTTTGCTCTTGTCAACAGTGAACGCTGAAGAAAGAGTTGGCCGTTCAGAGCATCCGTCCACGCATACGGCCTGTATTTACGCTCCAGTTGCCTGGTAACCAGAAAGAGGCTGGCATGAGGGCAAGCGGGCTCTAAATGAAATGCCACCTTGTTCACCATCACACTGTTTTCTGCTTGCTGTCAGGAAGAGGCTGAATATATGTTTTATTTACACTGCCGATCAATCCACCTTTCTTCATTCTGCTGCTCAGTATTTCAGCCCACAGGTGGCGTTGACGGTTCACGGCGGACCCGCCATGGCGGTGTTGATCTTTAAACATGGCAGGGTTTTTTTTTTATAAATATCAAAGCTTAGGAAAGTTATATCTGTGAGCTACAGCAGCCCTTCTTGTTAACAACGCAGGCCATCCTGGTTGAGGGCTTCTGAGAGTTGCAGCCCAACCATACCACGAATTCCACATCTTAAAACCACTGTGTGCACTACCCATGGCATGGTTTTGCCAGCTTGTTTTCCCAAGAAGTCTTTCATCATTGTCTTACCGTGGCAGAGCTAGAAGGAAACCTATGGTTCTTCAAATCCAGCCCCTGTCAAGGAGGCATTCTTTCATCACTTGTCTTACCGTGGGTGAGAAAATTTGGGCTATACGAATCTAATTCCCGCCAGCCACATATTCACTTGAAACTTCCTTTCATTAGTTTTCATTCCTCAAGAGAGAACTGATGGTGGCAGCCATTTTGTGGAAACACCCTGCCGGTGTATGTGTGAGAAGCCCATTCCCTCCTAGCATTCAGAAGCTAGTAAAAATAGCAGTTTAGAGAAGCCTTTTTGGGATAATCTCCCCCCCCCCCCCCTATTCCCGCCAGCCACATATTCACTTGAAACTTCCTTTCATTAGTTTTCATTCCTCAAGAGAGAACTGATGGTGGCAGCCATTTTGTGGAAACACCCTGCCGGTGTATGTGTGAGAAGCCCATTCCCTCCTAGCATTCAGAAGCTAGTAAAAATAGCAGTTTAGAGAAGCCTTTTTGGGATAATCTCCCCCCCCCCCCCCTGGGCCGGGGGGGGCGCGGCGTTTGTCTTCGGACAAACGCTGGCTCTATGGCTTGGAAACGGGGATGAGCACCATGCCCTAGAGCTGGACACGACTGTCAAGGGGAACCTTTAGCTTTACCCCTCCTGATAATGTTTATGCCTGTGTTGTGCTTTTGATCTTGTTTTAGATTGCCATCGCCATCAGAGATTCTTTTTGGGTTTTTTTTTTTTCTGATGGGTGAATGGACTGGATGATTTATGTTTATCAACTGCCCAGAGTAGTATCCATGCCACGCTAAGGGTGGTGTGAGAATCTAATAAACCAACTGGGAATGGGAACCCACACCGTCCTTCCAGCCTCAGGAGGTGAAACATAAAATAGGGAAGTGATTTTTGGGTGGAGAAATGCTTAAGCACAGAGCCCCACCCTGCTATTCAGCTCAAACTTTCATCCTCTTTTGGGCACTTCTGTTTGGAAAGGAGGAAAATAGATAAATGTTATCTACATATAAAATGGGAGTTTGGTTCTCATTAAGGCGAGGAACTGTTCTGTAAAACATCGCAGTAGGATCTCTATAGTGCAGACAGTTGGAAAATGAGATTTTGGCTCACCTGAGACCGAACTTGCTAACATGCAGTTGTGAAGACCTAATTCTATGAGATAATCAATCAATCATGGGACAAGCAATCAATAATCAATCAATGCCTATTGTTAACTCAACCATCAATGATTACATTATTTGTTTGTTTGCCTGGGAGAAGGGGTAATTTGAAGCAGGAAAGCAGGCTTAATCTTTTCTCCGTCAGCTCCACATCTGGAATGCCAAATGCATAGTTGATGGCCTGGTTGAGAGCAGATAATGCAAATCATGCAGTTGTGTTTCCTGAATTTGAGGAAATCGCAGGGGTCAGCACATCTGGAGTACAATTCTGCTTCTTTCCCCCCACTTCATACAAAATCTCACAGTTGTGTAGACTGGGGGTAAGAAGAAGCATTTCATGTTGATTTTCCTGTAACACAGTTTCAAACCGAACCACCCTTTACCACCTTCTCAGAATGCAATAAAGATTGTACTGACTCATTGCTTTTCTGTCTGCAAAAACATGTTAAATGGGGGAGAATAAGTGGCCAGAAACCATCGTGCTCTTGGAGACCCTTCCTCTGTAAAAATGTTTAGGCTTTTACAGGAAAATCCAGGTGAAGGAGGTTGACAGTATAATGAAGCCTTCTGTGGCAAAATGAATCAGAGCGCTGATGGGACCCCGGGGGACTGCGAATAGCCTGGAATGCAGTTGTGATGGGTTTTCTTTTCAGTCTGATTGAAGACGACTCTTCGTAAGACTCTTCCGAGTAGGCGAAAATGGCCTTTTGGGCTGCCGTGCTAAGCGCTGCGGAGTTGCCTTAGTGAAATGAGTGGGAATTGTTCAGCATTGAGGAAGACGGGGCTGCAGACCTGGCCAGTGGCTTTACGACGTGATATCAGTGGCGGACTGAGTATGTTTAGTTCATCTCTCCATATCGGTGCACATATTGGTGTTCCATTTCAGCAGTAAGGAGGGTGGGGAATAGCTGGCTGGAAGTGTAAGACTTGGAGGGAAGAGTGTTGGTTGGCACCCTCCATGATGCGCGCCACTAGTACCCTCGTTCAGTGGAAACTAGGGTATCTCAGCCAGTGGGCAAGCCCACTCCAGGTTTTAGTTTGAACTTTACAGGAGCTGTTGAAGGTGCCAAATCTATTTTGAGGGTAAGTTTCAGCACTGTGGATAGCTCTTGTAAAGTTCAGATTAAAACCTGAAGTGGATTCACTGCCCCTGCAGAATCGCCATCACCGGTCCGGCGTCTGCTGACTCACTCTACCTAACGATAGGGCTGTTCCTACATTCTTTAAAAGGTTTAGCATTGGGTGCTCTGCTCAAGAACTACGAACACCTCTCTCTTTCTGATTCATGGACAAAGAACTATGCAACATGTTGCAGAAAACAGACATTTTAATTTCCAGAACTCTAGATTTCACACCCAAATGGTCTCTCATATGTACATCTGCCTGTTTGAGAGGACCAGGAGAGATCTTTATAGATGGTCATTGCCTTTGTTGGTTACTTTTATCCTCTCCCCGTCATTATTTTTAAAAAGAAAGCTGTATGTAGCCTTCCACCTAGAGCGTTGTTAAATACAGGTATGTGGAGACAGGAAAGGCGGTGAAAACACAGAGGTAAGCAGTTGTTCTGGCAGGAAAAAATGTATGGTGCAAAATAGCTTCCCTGAGCTGCTGGCTTTCTATGTGCGTGGAGTTCTTTCCATGGGGGATGAAATTCAGCCCTGCGTGCCTCCAATATCACCAGGACCCACCTGCAGCCTGTAGTGGCTCAATCTGAAAATCGTTTACTTGCCCAATGCTAAGGATTATGTACAAGGCAGGAAGCCCTGGGGGGTGGGATGGGGTTGCCTATGAGAAGGATCTCAGAAGATCTAAGCAGCTTTCACATGGGGATTGTGAGCGGCTTGCCAGGCCTTGATCCTGCAGCCTCCACTTCCCCTTCACAGTCAAGCTCAAGTCACGTGCATCTTTTCTTGGGAGGGAGAACATATGATTTGGAAGTGGCCGTCTTCAGGGATTGGAATTGCTCCCGGGTTTCCCGTCAGGGCAACATCCCCTTCCATCCCAAGCTGGTAAGTCCTGGGACACGGCTGGCTCTCTTGAACAGCAGGACTTGCTTCCGGGAAGCAGAAGACACAGGTCTCGATAGCTTCTGGGGTTCGGCTGCCACTGGATCCGCTTCCTGCTTCCATCAGACCCTCTGAAAGAGACGTGCCATGTGCATGGTTAGCATGGAAGTGGCTCTAGCGGGTTGTCGTTCCTAGCAAAGAACCTCTAGAGAAACCTCCCAACAGATGGGCCAGCGGGGAGGGTCTAGCCTCCACAGAATCTCCATCCTCACTGTCCCTCTGGCCTAGCAGAAGAAGTGAAATATACAGTGGGACCGTAGTATCCACAGAGGGTCATTTCCAAGCCCCCCTGCAAATGCTGAAAAACATGGAAGCACCAAGCGCTATACATTGCAAGGTATCCAGCTTCCTCTAGTGGCCAGTTCTGGATAAAAAACACCCTGGAAATACATAGGAATACATACTTCTGGGTTTTTAAAAAAGTATTTTCAGGCAGCGGATAAGTGAATCAGTGGATACCGATCCTGTGGATATGAGGGCCCTCCTGTGTTTTGAACTGACTAAATCATTTATGAGAATGTTCTTTCACACAGACCTCCCTCCCGATTAAAAAAACAATATGCTGATCATTCAGTGTCGGTTCCACAAAGACGTAAAATGCATAAACTAGCATTTAAATATACATTGCAAGGTATCCAGCTTCCTCTAGTGGCCAGTTCTGGATAAAAAACACCCTGGAAATACATAGGAATACATACTTCTGGGTTTTTAAAAAAGTATTTTCAGGCAGCGGATAAGTGAATCAGTGGATACCGAACCTGTGGATATGAGGGCCCTACTGTGTTTTGAACTGACTAAATCATTTATGAGAATGTTCTTTCACGCAGACCTCCCTCCCGATTAAAAAAGCAATATGCTGATCATTCAGTGTCGGTTCCACAAAGACGTAAAATGCATAAACCAGCATTTAAATATTAAAACAAATAAAACTTGTTTCACCACCCCTTAGAATGCTTTTGTCTACAGAAGAAGCTTTCTGAACCAAGAAGGAATTAATAGCTCAGTGGTTCTGTGGAGCCAGATGTCGGGAGCTTGATTTCCCGCTGTGCCTCCTGTGAATAGAGCCAGCCTGGGTAGCCTTGGGCAGGCTGCACAGTCCCAAGGTTGCCCCCTAGAGGAAGGGAAGGGCAAATTACTTCTGAGTACTCTCTACCTAGAAAACCCTGAAAAAGCAGATCCAAATCATGCGATCCAACTTGATGCACCTTTTTTGCTCTCCCCCTTTTTGCGACATGCTGCAGTGCTGGCCCGGCATATCATTTCCTCCCCTCGTTTTCTGTAGTAAATCCAAGTCACCAGCAAGGAGAAGAGCAGGGAGCAAAGGCAGAGCCCCAGGACTACGTAGGCCACCATCCATGGGTCACATCCAAAATCCATCCTGCACTGGGCATTGCGGAGAGCAGCTGGTGACGGTAAAGTGGCGTCGAGAATCTCTGAAAATGGCATTGGGGGGTCAGGGAAGAGGGAGAACGAGAAATACAGTTACTAATGGTTGCTTCGAGTTAAGGATGGGAGTTCGAATCCCCACTGGGCCTCCTGGGAGAACAGCCAGCCTAGGTCCCCTTGGGTCAACTGCACAGCCTCAAGAGTGCCCCCAGAGGTAGGGAACGGTAAAGCGCTTCCTAGTTACTCTAGACCTGGCAAAAAGTGGGCACATATTATTTTTTTTAACTACCAAGGATGTGGAGATAGAGAGACCTGTTTTAGAGCAGCTGGTGACGGTAAAGTGGCGGCGAGAATCTCTGAAAATGGCATGGGGGGGGTCAGGGAAGAGAAGAGGGAGAATGAGAAATACAGTTACTAATGGTTGCTTTGAGTTAAGGTTGGGAGTTCGAATCCCCACTGGGCCTCCTGGGAAAAGAGCCAGCCTAGGTCCCCTTGGGTCAACTGCACAGCCTCAAGAGTGCCCCCAGAGGTAGGGAACGGTAAAGCGCTTCCTAGTTACTCTAGACCTGGCAAAAAGTGGGCACATATTAGTTATTTTTTTTTATACTACCAAGGATGTGGAGATAGAGAGGCCTTTTTCTGGGACATTCTGCCTCCTATGCTAAAATGACTCGATAGGTTTGGAGGGCTGGGCTTCTCCGTGCGTCTGAGTGGAGACGAGGCCACCTCAAGCAGTGAAACCTGTTGGCAGAGACCCCGTATTTTGCAGAGCGGCTGCCTTCCCATGCAGAAGAAAGCTCCCCCCAGAAGAGGTGACGAGGAGAGTTTTGCAAAGTTGATTTTTTTTCCCCACAATAATAATAAAAAATGCTTTCAGGTTTTTTGTATGGCTGGAGGATTTTATGAGCGTTAAGCCTTAGCCGGTAGCTCTCCCAAGCTCTCTTAAGGGAAATACTAAGCCAGGCTTGCATTCCAGAACTCGCCGACGTGACGCAACCGCTCTTTGTTTTGACACATGCGTTTAGTGTCATCTAGACTCTGCTTCTGTAGCTCTCATTTCTTTCAAAAAGTGCTCTGAGCTGCTCCCGATCCCCATTGCATGTCAGCTTCCATAAATCCAATTACACATTGTAATGGAGCTAACTCGGGTCTAATTTGCAAGCATCCGGGTGAATTCTATTAATTTGGCAAACAGAATATTTTACGGTGAGCAAGTGGGGAGGTGGTGGTGGTCCCTTTTTCTACACCGCAGGTCACAACCACCCAGGGGCACCTCTCTAGCTCATGTTGTTGATCCTTTCCTGAAACCCACCCACCCATCTCTCCCTCTTTTGGTTCTGGATGCTGCCTGTATTGTCATAAACAATTAAGAGTTTGATTGTGACCGGTTGGGGGACAATCCCTTCCACTGTTTGAAAGAGAGGGGGGAGAATGTTGTGCTCTCTGGAGGCTTGAGAGATGGGGGCAGGAGTCGCAGCCAGGGTGACCCACACATCCGATGACAGCTCTAAAACACTGTTGGCCAAAAAAATTCATCAGCCCTTGCTTAAAATAAACCACAAAGATGCAGCCAGCAAAGGGTGACAAGACCACAAAGCGGAAAAGTGACCTTTGGGGACTAGAAGTCCCAGGATTCTTGAGAGAGCATGGGAGTTGTAGTCAAAACAGTTCCGTTCTGTTCTCTATCGGTCATCCCTATATGGCCTCATGACATCGTGAGAAGGAAGGATTCTCTTGGAAAGACCATCATGCTGGGAAAGTTGGAAGGTGGCAGGAAAGGAGGAAGACCCCATGTGAGATGGGCTGGCTCCCAAAAGGAAGCTACAGACTTGAGATGACAAGAGCTGAGCAAGGCTGTTAAGGACAGGGCATTTTGGAGGTCACCCATTCATAGGGTTGCCATAAGTCAAAAAGAAACTTGACGGCACGCAATAACAACGTATAACTAAGTCAAAAAGCAACTTGACGGCACGCAATAACAACGTATAACCAGAGATCCGGTGATTGGATCTCGTGTCCTGGGGCTGCAACCCCCCCCTCCAAAAGAAGGAGACTTGCACCCTGCTTTCCAACGGAGGAGACATCCGATACAACCCGGGGGTTCGTTTTAAAGCAGAAAGCCTGGCATTCGGTGGGGTGCTGTCCACAAACGCTGGAGCAACTGATACATTCTCTCAGGAGGCTGTCGTAGTAGAAACCGACGCGCTTGCTGCAGTCCACCGAGCCTGAGAAAGAGACCCAAGAGGAGTTAAATTTGCAGCCATCAACCGAGAGCAGAAAAGACAGGAGGTTCTCCCCCCCCCATAGGGTCTGACCCTTCTTTGTTCCAGTCAAAATAGCCTTTAGGGGCCCCGGTTTCGTTTCCTGGCTCCCAGCTTTCATAGCCACGGGGAGAGCAGTAGCCTTGAGTTCCGTTGGCAAAGGGACCAGCTTGGTCTTAACATCCTGATTTTGAAGTTTTCAAAACTACTGGTCTACCCACGTCCAGTTATGAAATCGCAGCGCTCAGGCAGCGTGGTAGCTGTGCTGCCGAGAGGCTCAAAACCCCTGGTCCTTGGAAGAAACAGAGTTTTGGAAAGCGCCCGGCCTTCCCCGTCTGTGGCAATTTGGGAGATGCCGTTCCAGAAGGCAGCAAATTCAGGGAGAAGAGTGTTTCTGAGCATACACAGTGCTTGGGAATTTGTCTGCAGTACCGGAACAAGACTTATTGTCCTTTCCAAGCAGAACACATTAGAGCTTGGGGGGGTTATTTTTTGGAGCGACAATTTCTCGAAATTGGGAGTTGTACCCCGGAAAAGTGACCTTTCTGTTGCTTAACTAAACAAAGGAGAAAAAAAGAAGAATAACCCTCCTGGTTTCTCTCCAAACATGCTTTGTAGCAGCTGTTTAACTGCATGGCGAGATGGCCCTCGCCTTAATCTCCAACACTCACTCCCAATGGGGAGAGACACAAGGTGTAATTAAACTTTGCAATGAAAGGAGATTGGGTGGCGAATTAGATGCTGTGTCCCCGGTGAATCGTGCCCACCAGCTGCGAAGGGGGATAGGTTAAGAAGAGGAAGCAACTGCAGCTGGAGGATCCTGGGATCCTGCCCCACAAGATTTCTGTGCCATCTTAGAACTGCAGAGCTGGAAAGGACGGGATCCTGGGATCCTGCCCCACAAGATCTCTGTGGCCACCTCTGCCATCTTAGACCTGCAGAGCTGGAAGGGACTCTATAGAATAGATCATGAAGTCCAGCCTGTGTCAAGGAGGCCCAGTAGGGGAATCGAACTCCCAACCTCTGGATCTGCAGCCCACTGGGCTGTCCAGCAGTTCGAAGGGCGAGGGCCTCTCCAGACAAACCCACCCTTGTTGGTAGAACCGCTGCAGTTGCTGAGCGTTTTCTGCCCACGCCTCGTGTTCAAAGCAAAAGAGTTCGCTTTGAGATGGTACTCACTGCAGAAGTCAGCGCATGCTTTGAACTTGGACGCGTGACACGCAAGCCGGCATGGCTTGCAGCTCTGGAGCAGCTCGTCCCAGTACTGCGCTTTGGAGCACGGCATGGTCCGCCGGCGCCCCGAACGTCTTGAACTGGGGAGGTCTGTGAACGGAGGAAGAGATATTCCATACTGACGAGATGAGCTTGCGGTTCAGGAGAAAGAAACCAATATCTATGAAAATTCCTACCTGAAGATGATGCTGATGATGCTGATGATGCTGATGATGCTGATGCTGATGATGATGATGATGATCATCATCATCATCCATCATCATCATCATCATCATCATCATCATCATCACATGCCATCAAGTCAGTTCTGATTTATAGTGAACCTTTTCAGAGTTTGCCAGGTAGACGACGCTCAGATACGCTTCCCTTCTTTTGAAGGCATCCTGGGATTATGCAGCCAGCCCAAGGCTACCTAGGCTGGCTCTTCTCTTAGGAGGCACAGTGGGGAATCGAACTCCCAACCAGATATGAAGACCACTGAGCTATCCAGCCAGCTTTAATAATCACATGCCATCAAGATCAATCCTGACCTATTCAGGGTTTTCCAGGTGGGGAATACTCAGAAGTAGCTTACCCATTCCTTTCCTCTGGGGGTGTTTTAGGACGGTGCAGCTTGCCCAAGGACACCCAGGCTGGTTCTATTCTCAGGAGGGAAACTGAACTCCCGATCTTTCTAGCCAGATAGAGAGCATTGAGCTATCTAGCCAGCTTCTAAGGTGAAGACAGGATGGTGGGTTTTTAATATGTGTGCATGGATGTTTTATTCCACCACCACCACCTCGCCAAGAAGGCTTTGTTTCACTAGGTAAAGCAGCTTCAAATTTTTTGGAGCTGAGTTGGAGGATTTTTTAAAAATTTTTTTATTCTTTCTCAGATCATTTTGGATCAGAATTGTGCCCCTTCTGTTCGTCTCCCCGACCCTGAAAGACGAAAAACAGAAGTCCTAGTATCCTTTCTCTCCGAAGAAGGAAAACAGCTGGGCGACCCTCATTTTCTTAAAAAAAACAAACACATAAAAGGAAAGGTTTCAGTTGCACCCCTTTTTGGCTCCATCTCCCCGCCTGCGCCTGATCTTTACCGTGAAACCCACCTGCAGCTGCTCTCGGGGCCAGAAGGAAACCCTTTGTAGAAAAACAAGTGGAAAGTTTTAAATTCCACCAGAAGGTGGAAAATGCATCGCCCGGCCCGAGAGGTACCCCTTTGATCACTGGGTGATTCTGCACCATGATGGTGGCTGATGTTAGTGTTCATTTCTTGGCTTCCCTGAGGGAGGGAGATACAGAGATCCCAATGTTGGGCTGGGATTTATGATATCTGGGCTCAAGTGTCAAGTAGGTCTCGAACTGTACCAAATAATCATAGTTAATCTTTTTCTCTCTTGTGTCCTTCTGTCCTACTTTAAAGGGTTGCTTTGAGGATTACATCGTGAGCAGGAAAGCTACCTATATTGTCTAGAACTTACTGAAGGAAAGTTCTAATACAAATGGAACTAATAAACAAGTAGTGAACAAATTTTTATTTGACGTATGTGGAAATCTTCATCATTATGTGCCATCAAGTCATTTCTGAAAACCCTTTTCATGGGTTTCTAGGTAGAGAATACTCAGAGGTGTACAGTGGTGCCCCGCAAGACGATGTTAATTTGTTCAGGGAAAAACGCTGTCTTGCGAAAACATCGTCTCGCGAAACGTGGTTCCCCATCAGAATGCATTGAAATCTATTTAATGCGTTCCAATGGAAAAATCATCATCTTGCCAAAATCGTCCATAGAAAACATCGTCTTGCGAAGCACAACAGCGATCGCAAAAACTAATCGTCTTGTGGATTAATCGTTCAGCAAGGCAATCGTCTTGCGAGGCACCATTGTATTACCTTTCCCTTCCTCTAGGGGGCGCCCTGGGCTGTACAGCTTGCCCAAGGCCACCCAGGCTGGGTCCTCTCAAACCCCCAAACTCTAACTCTGCAGCCAGAGACCCAAACCAGTGAGCTATCCAGCCCACTTTGTGGGAGGAGGATCCTAAATTCGATGAACCTTCATCTTTCTGACCCAGAAAGACAAAACGTAACCAACCCCAATGATTATTATTGCATCCTTAACAGACTGCTCATCTGCTTTATCGCTTCTTCCAGAAATACATGAAGTGGAGTTGCGAAATTGAGGAAGTAAAAACAGATGAACAAACAAAAGTGATACACAGAATTTCCAAAGCCAGAGACTAGTGGGTTGACGAGAGATCACAGCATAAAAAAAGTGAGTTAGGCCCTTGGTCCATGATTGTTAATATAGATAACTTGTTAACTTGTGTTGCTAACCTTGAGGGCAGTAGCTGCCCAGACATTCAGGCTGAATTCTGTCCTCGCCTTCCCTGGAGACCCCTTGTGTTCTAAATACTCACTAGGCCTGTCCTACTGGAATGGAGAAATGGTCCAGTACCATTAGATGGGCTTGAAACAGAGTTATAATCAGGCATGAATAAGACCAGGAAGATATGGGCTCAGAAACTTACCAAATGAATGTGGCTGGCTAAAGTCATCCAGAACAGGGCAGTGATAAGATGATACTATGGGACCCAGAGCATGAAGTAATTCAAGAGCAAAAATCAAGATCATTTTTAATAATTTTACTAACTCTGCACGTAGCCCTCCAGACATTCTTGGACTGCAGCACTAAATATCCTCTTATTTATTTTTGCATATTTTATATCTTTCACATTTATTTCCCTGCTGCCTTTCTCCCACCGAGGGGGTGGGGGAAGACTCAAGGCAGCTCACCATAATTGGTCAGCTGCTCACAGCAACTCTTGCTGCACGGTTGAAGGATGATGGGATTTTGAGCCCAACAAAATGTTAAGGACCACCAGTTCTCTTGCTGGGTTTAAGGGCATAGTCCAGAAGGACACAGGGAAGACTTGAAACAGGGGTGAGAACCTCTGGAAATGATTGATTTTTAATGGGGTGACAAGAATTCAGAATCATCCTCCATCTTATCTCCGTTACGTAGACATTTCAAAGTTGAGATACTTTCAGTGGGAACAAAGTTGAGATTCTATCAATGGGAAGACAATGATTCTGTTTCCTTCATTATCCTGTGCTTAATAAATTCTGGATGGGTGTAGGGATGTGAAAAAAATCTCACTACTGTCTCATTCCTTGGCCAAGATGGGCTGTCTACCCCACACCCCTGAGACCTCTCTTCTCTGAAATGCGAGCAAACCACCAGGCAGAATTTGTGCATGTGAGTATACACATAGACATAGGCTTTGCACAATATGTCTCTGTCATCCTGGTCTCCTTTCAGAAATCATCCACTACCCACAGCAAGCACAAAAGAGCAAGACAATGGGTCAGCAAGATGCGAGCAACCCATCCGGTATTATTTTGTAACAATTTATGCAGAAGAAGAAGAAGAGAGCCAAGATTTTACAGAAATGCAGAAAGATCTGTTCTTGAAAATGGGGAAATTACAGTGTATAAGACTCCCCCATGTATAAGACACCCCCACTTTTCTAATCCAAACTTAAGAAATCTAAGGGGGGCTTAGCAAGTGTAGGGGAAAAGGGATCAAAGCGCTGCAGGATCGCTTTGATCCCTGCTTTCCCCTCTGCTTGTTTTTGGTCTCTCCTCAGCTTACTTCCGTGTATAAGACGACTCTCAATTTTTAGTCTAAAGATTTTAGACAAAATTATAGTCTTATACACGAAAAATACGGTATTTGCCAGGTAGCTCAGAATAATCTCCAGAATAAGAAGGACAAACTTTGCATGTCCTCATACGCTGAGAAGAAGACAAACTAGGTTTTTGAATTTCTGAACGAGTGCTTATCTGTTTGCATGGAGTTGGTTACTTTGATTTATATCCTTTTTTTCTTTGAAAAGAACGGGGCCTCAGCTGCCTTGCACAATAACTAAACCTCCAACAACTAAGAATTAGAAGAATTATAAAAAGAATTAGAGTATAATAACAGAACACATGTCTACCTATTACATTAAATCAAAATGTGGTCAAAATACGTTAAAACATCTTAATTAAAAATAGCAATTTCCATCAATCATAATCATAATGTGCCATTAGGTCAGTTCTAACTTATGGTGACCCTTTTCAAGATTTCCTAGGTAGAGAGTACTTGGAAGTGATTTATTTTTCCCTTCTTCTGGGGGCATCCCTGTATATTTTTCCCTTCTTCTGGGGGCATCCCTGGGACTGTGCAGCTTGCCCAAGGCCACCCAGGCTGGCTCTTCTCCCAGGAGGCACAGTGTGGGAATCGAACTCCCAAGCCTCTGGATCCTCAACCAGATGCTTAGCTCACTGAGCGATCCAGCCGGCATTAGGCAATAGAAAAATGAACACACTCTTTAAAACCCTGCTCTTAGCAGTCAGATTAGTTGATGAAGGTTGGTGTATGCCAGCAGAAGACAACTGGGAAGTAACCAAAGATCACTTGGCAAGGAGTTCCAAAGAGTTGAAGTTCAGCCACCAAAAAGACCTTCTCTAAGTTCTTCACCAAATATGCCTCTGAAGTTGGCGAGGTTGAAAGCAGAGCCTCTTCTGCTGATCTCAAAGCCCAGAGAAAATGATCTTTTTGTTAGCGTGGAATCAAATAGCACAAGAACGTTGCATGCTCTCAACAATCCTCTCTACAGCAGAAGTAAATATGGATGTGTTTGAGATGTGGTGCTGGACGAGAGCTTTGCAGATGCCCTGGACCGCCAGAAAGACGAACGAGTGGATCCTAGAACAAATCAAGCCTGAACAGCAGATGCCCTGGACTGCCAGAAAGACGATTTGATCCTAGAACAAATCAAGCCTGAACCGTTTCTGGAGAACAAAATGTTGAAATGGAGGCTGTCTCTACTTTGGGCACCTTGTGAGAAGCCAGGAGTCTTTGGAAAAGACCATCACACTGAGAAAGGGGGAAAGCAGCAGGAAAAGAGGAGGACCCGAGGCGAGGCGGAATGACCCTCTAAAAGAAGCCACCGGTTTGAGTTCCTCGGCAAGGCGGATTGACTGTCTAAAAGAAGCCACCGGTTTGAGTTCCTCACAGCTGAACAGGGCTGTGGAGGACCAGACACTTTGGAAGTGGCTCATTCCTAGCGTGGAGATGATTTGACGATTCGTAACAGCAGCAAATTAAGGATAAACCTATTAAGGCTGACCTCTAAGCCCTTTTTAGAATGTGGGACTAATAACTGTAACTCCTTAATTTTTTTAAAAAAAGTAACTTTCCAAGTTCTATGACTTTTCTTGAAGACAGTGAAAAAAAGCACAGCGGTAAAGGAAATTCAAGGAAATGCCTCCCTCGTTGTTCAAGGATGTTGTCCAAAGGAGCTCCTTGTCAACTTAGGAAAATAGGAACCTCTTATGGGGAGGGGGGGAGCTGTCCTAGGTTTTCATTTATTTTAAAACCTGGCTGTTTGTCAGGCTCTTTGCCCGAGGGCTGACATCATTTAGGAACCCTCTCATCTCCTTGTCCTCCGATGCTTTTGAGGGGGGTATTTTTTTTCCCCTTTTCTGCAGCGCCTTGTTTAGTCTGATCTGATCCCTGCAACAGGGGTGGAAATGTGTGACTCTTCAGATGTCG